GAGGGCATTTATTTCTTAAAGCTGCAGGGATTGCTTCTATATTTAAAAAAAAATCAGATTTTTCTGCAAACCTAGGGCCCCAGTCTCTGGATTAAGTATCCACAGATGGGTCCAAGTTGAAAATTAGATAATTGATGGTTACACAACAATCTATACCAGTAAGTGATGCTGTTACACATCTGAGTGTTTGGATTGGTTCTGTATCTATATACTAATAGCGAAGTCGCCCCCGTGCGTGTGTATACCTAAATCCATGCATCGGGGGCACCTGGGGGGAAGGAAGATTTTTGTGCACACTTGGGGCAATCCCCAGGTGTGCACAAAAATCTAAAAACCCAGAAAAAATACTGGGGGGATACTTAAATCCCCCCAAAAGTGACAGAGCTTTGCGAACTCCCTCACCGCCGCTGCTTGGGGGGGAGGAAGAGCGTGGAATTGGCGGGATGGGGGGGAACTTACCTCCTCCTCCTGCTTCCTCCTCTGCCTCATGTGTGGAGGTCCCTCCCCCCCGCGAGTATCGCGGGTCCCACCCCTTGTTGGTTCTAATTGTTGTTCTGTTTTCTGGGTGCCTTGGCTATATAACTATTTTAACTATTTTATTATCTGTGCTGGAAGCTGTGCTGGAGACTACTTGGAAACCTTTTATAAACACATGTGTAACACTTGATTTGGTTTTTATGTTTTTTTTTGTCATAGCTATAGGTAGCACTGCTGCAATCTTTGGATATCTTTGAATAGATTCCTTATTGTAATTTTGCTATTAGTGATATTTTATTATGGGTTTTTTGTGTCCTTACTGGCAATTTCACGAGTTGCCTTAGAGCCTTTGTTCAAAGGCAGATTAAATTGTTATACTGCCGATGGATGGCTGCAACTGAGAGACCGGCTTATGGGTGAAGTCTCCGCAATCCTAACATTGCTGCCCCCACATGCAGCCTGGCTAGGGAGGAAAATATTGCAGCTGTGCCTAGTGAGGCTAGCTGCCGCTCCAGTGAGTGTTACTGTTACGTGTACTTTATATCATCAAAGAGAAAATGTATTTATTTCATCTTTGCTTCAGTGCTCCTAATGGTCAACTGGTCCTTCTCATCATACAGAAATAACAATGTTCGATGGTTGATCCAGAATTTTAAAAGAACTTTTCTTAGTGAGAGAATATCTTTAATATTTTCTGTGAGTTAACTCTAGGCTCACTGTGCTGAGGTAAAAACCTTTCTTGGCTGTGTTTCTGTGCTTTGTTCTGTTCCACAGATACTGTGAAACAGCGGGGGAGCTTCCTGTGTTTATTTTTTTTAATTTGCTAACTTCTGTTTGCTGGCACTGCTGGGTAGTTTACCCTTAAATAAATTGCATGCAGAGAAGCTCCTAGTAGCATCAAAAAGGTATCCTACAGAGCTGGAGGGGGGGGGGTTCCTATCATCCTTGGATCGCTGGGGCTGACTACAAAAACGGCAGAGCCTTGAAAGCAGTGCCTTCGTTAGTGTATGCATCCTGAATGGTGATAACAAGATCAAGACTGCTGCAAGGAGAAATGCCTTAGATGCTAATTAGCAGAGATTTCTTTTCTTTAACCACAGTGGGTGTTAACCACTAATAGCCCTTTCCTTTGCTTTGCCTCACAACAGGTAGCTCCCTTGCACATCTACTATAATGGATTGTAGATTCAGTGAAGAGAGCAACAGCTGGCATTTTGCAAAGTATGAAAACTCTGAGAAGTTTGAGAAGATCTTGTCTTTTCAAGCTGTAATCAGAGCTTCACGGTACCCCAATGCTCTCTTCCTTGACTTAAAACTGGAGAGGAAGGGCCATCATGAATTGGGCGTAACCTTATCTACTTTTGCTCTCTGTGAATCCCCAAAGCCATATTTTAGTTTCACAAGCATACTGGAAGGCTGAGACATAGCAACTGTAAGTATTGCCATTCTTCAGAAGGTGACCAATTATACCTAGACCTCAGCTGAGAAAATGACAAAAACTCATGCTCATACTCTGTCAACTGATCCATTGTTAAAATTTCCTTAGCAGTCCAAACTTTCCACAGAAAAAAATATTTCTTCCCAATTTTCAGATCTAAATTGGCCCATAATGTTAATTTAGAATGTGAAAATTGATCAAATTGATATTGTCATGCCATCATACACCATTGTTTTCTAGTTGTAGAAACTGCAGGAAGAATGGGATCCACTCTAGCATAAGTAGAGCCTAATTCAATGTTTTATTTAGGTTCACAAGCCTATAGGCATGTTAAATACTGAGTTCTAGACACATTACAGTGATCAGCTCAGATTTATTCAATGATTCAGCAAACTACAAGACGAAGCTAGCAGGGCTGGAGCCCTGCTTATAAGCATGCAAAACATCCCATCCAACACACCCACTCCCAGTGACAGGCTATTTACATTACAATGGCAGTGGCAGTATCGTAGCCAATGAGGTTAATCCGAGGCGCGATTATTGCTAATTGAATAAATTACACTGCTTATCTATAGGTTAGTTCCTGGATCCAGGCGACCTATTGTTCTAAAGAAGTAAGCTCAGCCCTGTTCTAGGCATAGCTAGAGGAAAGGCTTAGGCTCAGTACATAGCAAGTACACACCATAATTTAGAATTAAGAATAACAACAAAGCAAAACTTAGGCACATCAAAAGTACAAGTTTTGTTCTGGCGACTTAGAAGTAATCCTCACTTATGAGTGGCCACAGTAGCTGAATATTTTCATATCCATTTCAAAAGAAATTTCTCCCAAGGCCTCAGCATGCTTTGGACAATAAAGAAAAACATGTGTTAATGAGTCAATCGCTAATAAAGAACAGTCACAAAAGTGCTGTTCTGGAGATGTCCTGAGAAAGCAACCATTCATCTGAGCTGTGGGTAATGCATCACAGTGTGTAAACTGCCTCAATTTAGGAACCATCAAGATATGACGATAGTGTAGAGATTCAAATTCAGCTGGATATTTAATTCCTGTGTAAAGCAGAGAACATTTCCTTCTGGCATCTTTAAACAAGGAATCCCAGTCCTGTTTAAGTAATTTCTCAATGAGCAGCTCTCTTTTCCTCTTTGTTAAGGGGCTCAAAGGCCTCACTAGGCACAACTGAGTGATTTGAAAATTTACAGCTCCATTCCACAAAGAACATTGTTAAAATTTAAAGTTAATTATTGCTTTTCACATACTCTCAAAAGTGCTGGTATATACTGGCTCCTAGGGTAAATTCTTTCCCCCCTTAATGCTAACAGTGTTAATTCAGTTTTCTGTTTAACATACTGACTATGCTTAGACCATGATCGATTCAACTGGAATATAATCCCCAAGTATTTAAATTCATTGACCACTTCCATTCATTGACCTTTTATATCCAAATTTTCTCTTATTATATCATTTAATGTTTCCATTACAAAAATAAATAATAATGGTGACAACAGACAGCCTTGACGTATTCCTTTCTGAATAGCTATATTATGTGTTAAATCTCCATTAACTATTATTTTTGCAAATTGTTCCTTGTATATAGACATTACCATCATCATGAAATTATTGCCACAATCCCAGGTCTCCAATTTGTATCTTAAAAAGTCCCAAGTTACATTGTTGAAGGCTTTCTCCGCATCTAAAAAAGACCAGGGCCAGTTGTCTTTCAGGATGTTGTTCATAATATTCTAAGATATTTAGTATTGTCCTTATGTTATTCTTTATCTGCCTCTTTGGGAGAAAGCCGGCTTGGTCTCGATGTATAACTTGAAGCAATATCTTTTTGAAACGAGTGGCAATAATAGTTGCAAAGATCTTGTAGTCAACATTTAAAAGCGAGATGGGTCTATAATTTTGTATTTCTTTTTCCTCAGTATTGGCTTTATGTATTAATGTAATCAAGGCATCATTCCATGTGGTTGGTAAATTTCCTGTCTCTGTCGATGTTACTGCTATTTCTGATAATCAGAAATGTACTTTGTTAAATGTACTGTTGGGATGTTGTTCATTGCCCTGAACCCTATGTATAGGGGAGGCTGGTCAATAAATCACATAAATAAATAGTGATGAGACTTTTAAAAATCAGTTGATGGCTGAGTTGCCAGAATATTTTAACATGAATGAAGGAACAGCTAGTACTTGTGCTATTGAATGGGATGCTTGTACAGCTTTTATTAGAGGGGGAATCATTGCATACGTTTCTCATAAGAAGAAGCTTAGAGAAATTAAAGAAATAACTTTGAAAAATAGATTGAAATATATTTTAAGCTAGCTATATCTTCCACACCAGATCTTTATCAGGAACTGTAAAAAGTTAAATATGAACCAAATAAAATATTATCAATGAAAGCAGAATATGCTTTAACTTGTTTGTGCCAGTCATATTGGGGAAGTGGTGAAAGGCCAAGTAAAATTTTAGCATATCGTTTAAGACAGACAAAGAATAAGAACTATATTTCTTTGATCAAAATCAAGAAGAACAGCTTCCAGTTTTGGCATTTGCCATGGCTGCTGCTTCTCTCTGGACCTCTGGGAGACAGTAGCCAGAGCCCGTGGCTGGGAGGGGGGGCGATCGTCCGCATCACCCCTGGAACCCTTGCAATAGGCTCCTAGCCATGGGGCGCCAGTGAGCTCTTCCACCAGTGATCTGGCTGGAGAAGGGGAGCTCCTCCGTGCCCCGAAGGTCCCGCTGCGGAGTGCCCCATATAGGGAAAGGAATCGCACACTGGAACAAGTGCTTGGTGGCCGAGCAAAATTAAAATGGAAAGCGGATTCAATATTGAACTGTGAGTTAGAGTAAAAGCAAGAAGCACTGAAAATTCAAGCCGGAAACTTCCCTTTAAAAGTGTTTGTGTGAGGGGAGACTCTCCACCGATAAGAAAAGCTAAGCGATTCTATGCTACAACAACAAAGGGGGGTGAACGATTGAAACAAGAGAGACTGAATTAATAAGCATTTAAGAACTTACCACGTGTATTAAGGAGTATCAGAGACTGTGATAACTTTTATAAAAAGTAAACAATCTCTAAAAATGGCGCCCACGAAGAAGGATGAGAAGGAAAAACAAGTTAAACCAAAACTTCCTGTAGGACCTGCTGGACCAGCGAGTCCTGCCCCTAGACAGGACACAACTGCAGAGCTACAAAAGATGCTAATGGAAGCATTGCGACCCCTGCTGGATCAAATAACAGCATTGCATGGCAAATTCGCTGCACAGCAATTGCAACTGGCTAAAATAGCCAAAAGACAGACAAAACTGAATAAGAAGTAAAAGAAGTGGATGCCAACACCAAAAAAATGGGGGGGGGACTGCAGGTGATGGGAAAAAAGAGCTTAATGGAAGAGTCTCAACTGTTACAGCTACAAATGGAGAGAGCAAGCTTAAGGTTTCAAGGTGTTCCTGAAGATAAGACTGAGAATCTGAAACAGACTATGTGTGATGCCTTAGGCCCTTTGGCAGAAATAGATCTATTTCTAGAGAAATAGCAATAACATCTATATCACAGGCAGTAATCTGGTCATCAGAAGAAGCTGAAACAAGAAATTAGTCTAACTGGAAGCAGTTTAGATACGCACACACACAAAAAAGTATAATCTCAGTCCATTGGATGTAATATACACCAGTGATCAATCAAACCAACTTCAACAATAAAGGTTATAAGTGTAGATCTCACCAAAAATATTATTTGCATGGAGGTGTGCTTCAATCCAAAGCTGTATCTAGTATCTCAGTAAAATCTCTCCCCACCAACAAATAGTCATAAGTAAAATTTACAAAGTGGTTGAAACATTGATAAAACATGTCTGAAGAATCCACATTTGGACCATACACATTAAACATAACAGTATAATAGAATCAGAGCTTTTCACCACCAAAATAATATAGTGGATCTGTAATTACTTGCAGAACCCAAAAAGCAAAAGGCTGGTGAATCGATACAGTAATACCTTTGATCAGTTAGATGTATCAGTAACATATACCTCACCAACCCAATCCTTACATGAGGAATCTTTATCTTTTGCCATTATATGAGTTTCTTGTAAAAAAGCTACATCAGCCTTAAGAGCTTTTGACTTGGAAGTAACCAGTAATTAGAATCCCTCAGGCCCTAAACATTCCATATCACATTTAACATAACACTTGAAAATAATATCTCTGATCCACAATGCCCAATTTTCTGACCATAGGAATGTTACCAAGTATAATATAGGGAACCTGCCTATCTATGCAGCACTTAATATAAAATATAAATGAAGTAAGAACAAAAAGTGAGGGGAAATGTACCTATAAACTAATAGGGATGGGCACGAACCAGTTCACAAGCCAACATTCAGCATGAACTTGGCCCTGTTCAGAGCTCCCGAACCGATGATCAGGGAAGCCTTCCCCAAACATTTACTGGACTTCTGTCCAGTTCGGCTTTTGGGGCCATTTAAACCTAACAGCTGAGCAGCATGGGTCCACAGCTCACCTGTTAGGTTTAAATGGCTACGAATCATTTCATTGATCAGTTTTGCTTTCCCCTGCTTTGAAGCAGGGGGAAGCGAAACGGACCAGTGAAATGGCTGCTAGCCATTTAACCCTAACAGTGGGGTGGGTCCACCCACCAGCTGTTAAGTTTAAATGGCTGCAAGACCGGCCAGTTCAGGGCATTTTGGATTTGATTTGGGGTTAGGTTCGGGGACTGCCCCAAACAGAACTGGAAATTTCAGGTTCATGCCCATCTCTATACACTAACCCCCACCTATGTAGAAAAAAACTATTACCATCCCTAAAGAAAAAAAACAAAAAAGGCTTCTTCTTTTTTGCATCCAGGTAAAATGCCAGAGTTCTCGATAGCACCAGCCATTCTCATCCATTTAATTATATAGGTATATATGGACCAATTCCAATAATGACAGATTAAAACAAATTAAATGGGGGGGGGAGTGATGGAAGCATCTGTTTAAAGCCTAAAAAGTAAACAAGGGGGGTGAGATGGCTGGTGCCCAGACCATTTTCTGTAAGTTGGCAGTATGTCCAAACAGTTAAAGCTTAATACTAGAGATACAGAAAAAGAAAAACTAGCAGTTTTATTCAAAAGACTTCAGTGGGCTGTTCATTTCCCCACAATAGACTTAAGGGTTTGGAACAGCAAAGAGTAGATCTTGCAGACCAGTAAAAACGATTCTGCAGCAGTGGGGAATTGAAACTTTTTGATCAGGCATTGATAACGCATGTAGAAAATGGAAGGAGATTCATTGTAATATTGCAGAATCATATCTCTTCCAAGGTTTATGCTTTTGTAAATTGGTGCCATTGCATTGATATTTCTTTAGTGTAATCTGGATAGAACATGATCTTATTTTTCTTAGGAACCTAACAAAGATCCTTTTTCTGTCTTGCAAGGCAGAGGAGGTGATCTTTTACACTCGATCTGAAGAACTGCACAATGACAGGAGTTGGCTTGTTTGTGTTCCTAGATACACAAGAAATCCCATAAGCCCATTCAATTTGCAGCTGGAAATCAGATGGGAGCTGCAAAAGTTCATTAAAAAAACCTTTCTCTTAAATTCCACCAGTTTTTGCTGGCCTGCCTTATCTGACTCTTCTGAAAGCCCAGGGACATGAAGGGTGAGTCAACGATATAGCTCTTGAGCGGCGATATCCAGCTGGACAAGCGATTATATGAAGTTGAGAGTGCTGTTTCATGAGCCACAGTTCAATCTTCCAGAGCAGCTGTTTTGGACTCCATCTGTTGAACTTGTGCACCAATAGACTCGATTGACCCCCGAAGCTGTTGAATTGAATCGTCGATTATCTTAATGTTGGCAGAAAGTTGTTTTAGTTCTTCTGGCTGATATTTTAATTCTTCAGATTGCTGTTTTAGTTCTTCAGACTGCTGTTTTAGCTGTTTGGACTTTCCCCCCATCTGAGTGGCCATTGTTTTCAGCAAGATAATTGCCTCTTCTTGACAGTCAGTAGGAGATGATTCGGCCGCTGTGTTTCTTTTCCTTTACAGCTCATAGTTTTGAAAATATAAGCCCACTTACTGGAAGAAATAATAACAAGCAAAAGTAAAATACTAAAGTAAGAGCAAATAGCCGCAAAATCAAACAAAACAAGTCCAGATCAAAGCATGATGCGAAAAAGAGACAGGAGAGGCACAGAGTTGCTTCTCATTACTCTGCCATCTTAAATTCTAGTCCTGCTTAGATTCAACAAGGGTGCTGTAATATATGCATTCCAATTTCCCTCTCCACACAGAATATGTATGATTTACACAATATTTCTGAAGCCTCTGGAAGCTGCTTTCTCTAAGCTTTTGTTACACACACATGGGGTTCTTTTAGCAAACTAAAGTTCCTTTATTCGAGTTCACACCACTGGTCCATCTAGGTCAGTGTTTTCTGCTCTGGTTGGCTATGGCTTTCCAAAGGTCTCATGCAGAGAAAGATGTTTCCCAACACCTCCTTCCTGAGATGATTTAACTGGAGATGACATGGAATGGTCCTGGGTCCTTCTGCATGCAAATCTTGTGTCTTGTCATTGAGCTATGGCCCTTCCCCATCAGACACATGGGCTACTGCTTTAGCCATTCTTGAAGCTATTGGAGCAGATTGTTCTGCAAACTTATTGGGCTGGGGTGAAAGCCATGTAGACAGATCAGCATTTCAGGGAAACAAATGGTTTTTTCCCCCCATCCACCTGGATGGAATTATCCATTCTTTGTCTGCTGAAAAATCAAGTCAATAATTTTGTAACCAACATAATTAGTATTTTAAACAGGCCAATCTTAGCTCAGAAGTGTTGCCTGGAATGAAGTTTCCAATAACAGCAGGAGAGACATAATTAAGATGTATGACTTTTGTAAGTGATTGGGAATGTTTGAATGGGTTAAATAAATAACAGACTAATTAAAGTAGAGTTTTTAGCTTTTAAAAAGGCATTTTATTACTGTATGTATATTCATTTAAATTAACTTTGCTGTCAAGGACTGTGAAATTACTCTGTTGGCAGATTTTATGTTTTAATTTACAATTAACTTAACTTTGCAAGTATCCATAGGGTGAAACTTCATGTGCACTGTTCTTCCCCTCAGAGCCAGAAAATGGGACCTCCGCATATATTTAAATTTGCAGGTTTTTGCAGCCTTTCAAAAGATAGTAGTGTTTCTTGGTGTTTATTAGCTTAAATCTTTTGGGTCACTATGTTGCAAATTTAATAGTCTTTCTACTAGCAAACTTTATGAAAGGGACTAACCCATAAACACTGGGAGATGAGGGGTTTCTTAGGTATGCAGAAAAGGATTAGTTTGTACTTTTTATTAAAAAGCCCCCCCGTGGCTTGTTGAGGAGTGAACATTCTTGTTCTCAGAATGTTGAGGCAAAAAGGAATGGGGAAATGAGCTTGCTGAAGTTACACTTAAGAGCTTATAGAAGAACTGTAGGTCAAGAAGATGGGCTTTCCCTGCCCCAGTTTATAATCAGTACATTGGGCTTGAAGGCACTTTGTTTTGTTTCACATTAATGCTTTCTATTTTGAAGATTTCTTTCACTCAGATATGAAGTTTTTAAATGATTCTGGTAATCCTGATTCTGGATTTTAACCTTGTTTTTACAGGTGACCTGTAACTGCTTCAGCATTAGTAATGGAGAGGTGCAGGATGTTGGTGTTGGCCTTTATCCCAGGTACTGTGGATATTCGTTCATTCACAAGCAATGAATTGCTACCCCTTTTCACCCCAGGCTGCTGAAATAGCAGGTACAATAACGAAGAAAGAAGTCTGGAGATGAAAACAACCTGCAAGAATATGCAACACAGTGGCAGTGAAGTAAATACTTTTGCACATATGGCCATAGGCTCTGTGGGTTTCCAACATATGGAAAACAGGGTACCCTGTATGTAAAGCATCCCCACATCTTCCCTTCTCTGGGAGGGGATTAGAGGAAATTAAATTAGTTCCCACATGGCTAGATGGTTACTGAAGCTATATGAATCAAGCATAGTTATGGAAGTGGGTAGAGGAAGAATCTGTAACATTAAAGTGTCATCTTTGTCTGTGACAGATAATTATTTTTATTAATCAAGACTTTTCCCCCTTTCCCAGCATGTCTTTGCTGAACAACAGTTGTGATCCAAACTGTGTAATAGTCTTCGAGGGTCCGCAGCTCTACCTTCACTCAATCCGGGAGATTCAGATAGGTGAAGAGGTAAGGTAATTAACTTGTTCTTCCTTCCGTCACAGACACCTACAGCAGCTGCATCTCCTTAAATAACTTCCAGACTGCAGGGCCACCAGCTTTACACTTTGATGATATATTGATGCTACTTCCTATCACATAGCTATCAGGAAGGAGATGATAAAGGGAATCCTTTCTTCACACTGTCTGGGTCCCATAATCATTACCTCTCATAAATCATCAGCAGTTTTGATGAATTCTTCTCCCTCTGTTCCTCCTCTAGGCACTTCATTTTGTTTGTATTTGAGTGCCTTTACCCTGATAAAAACACTTATGATACTTCTGGGTGGAATGCAGCATTCACTAAATCATTGCAACAATAAGCATTTGTCAGACTGAGACCATGCTGAAGCAGTAAAACTTTCATTGGCAAGGAAGGTAACAAGGTAGGGGTTGTTTCCTTGTTGGTTGTATTAAAAATGACATGGAGAGATGCCCTTTCAAAATGATTTGTGTTTTTTATCAGAGAAATTCTTGACACCATTTTCTTTTTACAAATGGGGATATGGAATACACTTCTCCCCCCAACTGCAACCAGTGAAGGGAAATGTAATGCTAGATTTCAGAATATGACAGTCTCCTTGGCCAGTCTCGGTATCTAATACTGGATCTCACCCAAGTGTGCATGCAACTGCATTTACTTTTGCTGTGAAGTGTGTGTACATTACTTATTTCTTGTCTCATTTCATTTTCTGGTTTTGTTTTTCCCTCTGACTGTAAGGAGCTTATCTTGAACATTAACCCACTTTACAAATCGTATCATAGGAATCAATCAGTTGAAATTATGATAGGAGTGAAGACTTGTGGCATTTATTTGCATTGACCTCAGTATGGCTCACATTGGAGTAAAAATTACAATAGGAATGATCTGAGAGCACATTGAAACACAGGGGTTGCAGGCATAGATTGGCTTTTTACAATAACGCTTTACCGCTTTCCTTATTAAAAGTTGTAGCAGATTTTCAGCTGGTGTAATTAGCCAAAACTATTCCACAATGAAGCAATTTAAATAAATTAATGAAGAAATATTTCATTGCTGAAATAACTCGATTTCACAATAAAAAGTATGTTAAGTCATTATGCCTTAGTAAAGTAAAAAAACTCTTAGGAGTTCATTTCATTTTCAGCAATTTACAAACCAACATAATTTGCACTGGATTATCCAACCTCAATCATCATGTGGGCAGTTTTGGAATTTTGTGAAAAGGTAGTAGGTATCACCACAGAATGGGTACCATAGGCATTAGGATCAGTCATAAAATGGCTCCAGGAGTGGGGGTGGGGCAATTGCAAATAGGTTGGGAGATCCTGAATGGACCCTCTCTGCAGACCCAAAGAGGATACTTTCTGGGCTGTTCTGAAGCACCTCCTGCTCCAATGAGGTGAAAAAAGCCAGAACTATCTCTTTGCTTTGGGGTAGAAACTGTTGGAACATACAAGGTCTATATTGCACCTACTTGAAGAAGATCAGAAGAACAGCCTATAGGGGACAGCTGAAGGACTGCTAGTTAGCATACTTAGATTAGGGACTTCCCACAGTTTCAAATTTTGTCCTTCCTGTCTCCTGATCGGCTTTTTAGAGACTTCTTGCTCCAACTGAGCCCTCCCCCTTCATTGTTGTCTCTCACAGCAGTTAGTTAAATCTCTCTCCCTCTCCTCTGTTCTATCAGAGTTTATTTATTCTTTAATAAGCCGCGTTATTTTCTTTAAACAGTCGGTACTGCATTCCTCTGCATGTTTGAACTCTGACAACAGAAACAAGTTGGCACCAGGAAAGAAACTGATCGGTCAAAATGGTGTCCATGGGTATCATGTAGAGGATTGCTGCTCTGAACAAACTGCCCCACAGGGCCTCAGCTCAGACTCGGCTGGCAGCAGTACAGATTAAGGAGGCAATGCAGGCATAAGCCACAACTGTCACCTCTTGCCTCTCCACCACCTGGGAGGAAACCATGTTGTGATCACCTCCAAGGCTCACCTGGGACCCAACACACAGTATTGACAGAATCAGACATGTTTGTTACTATTTCCAATGTGCTGCCATTGTTGGGAGCAAGGTGAGACCCAACAGACTGTTGGTATCTCAAGCCCATTTCAAAATAGCCAACAGTGGCACAGGTCCCAGAGGAAACAAGTTATGCCTGTCACCTCCTCTTCTGCTGCCAGTGACTGGGAGCAAGCTGACCCCACCTTGCCTTATCAAAGCAGCCATGCATGCTGTGCTAGGGCTAAGAATGACTCTGAAACCATTTGCTTTTTGCAATAATTCATCTCAAAATCTGTCCTATTCTCTGCTCATATTTCCTCAGAATTGCTTCCTACACGGTGAACAGTTAGCTCTTACTATGCTATAAGTACACCCCTTTCCCAGAAGTCATAATGCTAGACCATCAGCTGTAACAGCAGGAGCCATGAAGTGGGGACTAGGAGTTAATCATACTTAGTGGCCCAAAATACTTGAAATATGCCTGGGGCAAAACGCTACCTGGAAACCGATGGCAACGTTCACTCCCATTTATAAGAAAATTAATATGAGACCTAGTGTCAATAGGTAATGCCCTTCTTTGTCCTTAAGTCAAAAGTCTTCAGTGGCGAGACATGTTACCCAAATCTGTATGGTCAAGGTCAAAACCTGATGCTGATTCAATTGTACTTCTTTCTCTCTTTTGAAAACGGTGCTTTCCTGTTGTGCTATCTCAAGCAACTCAGTTACATTATTGAGAATCTCCTGGCAATCACAAAGCTACAGTTAAAGGCAGGGGCAGGGAAACAAACTCTTCAGCTCTCCCGCTGTAGTGAAGCAGAAGTACTCCTGACTGAACGTAATATATACATTTGAGATCATAACCAAGACTAATCATAGGAATAGGGAAACCATTACAGAAATCAGCTGTGGTTATTTGACAGCCCGTCTGTTTCTAATTATGAAGCTACATGAGTCTCAAATTTGCTCCCAGTCACTCAAAAGCAATTATAACACCTTTGTCTTTGCTGTGGTGGCAATTTGCTGTTCAATTTTTGTGGACCTTTGCTGTTTCAAACTCCTAGAGGTTTAACTCTTTATGCATTTTAAAAAGAAGAAGAGTATAATATTGAGAAGACTAAAGTAGTTTGCCTAGGGACTACTGTGACTCATTCAGAGAGAAACTGTCCCTACATTTTAATTCCCCCCCCATTTTTTTCTTTAGAGCTCACTCTAAAGACTACTTCCAGTAACTCTGAATTAGACTGTCTCTGAGTAGTCTATTTGTGCTCAAATTGCCTTTCACAGTTGGTTCTCCTAGAACCACTTTTTGCTGGTCCCTTGGGGTGGCTATCTAATTCTATGCTCTTTATAAATCTTCATGCTCAGTATATACTACTCACATAATAATTGGAGGACCTCAGGTATTTCAAACTTCTCTGTACTGAATTAAAACCTATTAGGCAATGCTTGTCACATTTCATATTGTTAAATTAATACTCATCTTGAATTATCAGAGCTGACAGTCAAGCACAATAAGTTCACCATCCAACAACCTTTTATTAACCTCCTCTAACTAGGAGAATGTTAATGCTTTTTTAAAAAAAATGAAACTCGAATAGAGATTGGGGATGACATTTTCTAAAAGCAGGTATTCCTTTATCAGCATCAGCATGAATAATGTTTTACAATCGTTGAGGGTGTATCAAGAGACCTCAAGATATTCAGTGGAAACAGTGATAGATGGAGCTATACAGTTGGGTGGATCCAACCAGCTTTTTCATTCAATCTTGCCCCACTCCCCTCCTTACTACAACTCCTGTCTCATATGTATTTTCTTCATTTAAAACATTTATACCCACCTTTCTTCCTTATGGAGCTCAAGGCAACTCCCAACATAAATATATATATATATAAAATACATTAAAACATAAAAGCAGAATTTTAAAATCCCAACTCAGGACTCCTAGTAAACTTAACCAAATGCAATCCTAAATAAAAACATGTTCAACTGCCTCCTAAGGATTGAAATGAAGGGGGACCTACCTGGAGAGGTTGTTGCATGATCATGGGGCTACCACTGAAAAGACCCTCTTGGTGTACCCACCAAACGAACTTCTTTGATCAATGGGGCACTCAGGAGGGCCTCTCTCTGTGATCTTAATTCCCTGGCAAGAACATATGGGAGACGACAGTCCTTTGGATTCTCTGGTCCCAAGCCACATAAGGGCTTTAAAAGTAAAAAACAGCACCTTAAATTGGGCTAGGGAGCAGATCGATAGCCAGTGTGATTGCTGTAGTATTGGGGTTATATGCTTCTGATAGCTGGCTCCAACCAGCAGTCTAGCTGCAGCATTCTGCACTAGCTGCGGCCTCCAAACGCTGTTCAAGAGTAACCCCAAGTACACTGCAGTAGTCAACACAACACAAAAAACCTTTATTGGCATGAAAGCACAAAACATCATAGAAATACGGGAAAATACTAAGATGCATCAGTCACTTACACTTGGCTATTCAAGTCTTGTCTTCTGATTGCATAATATAAAATTTTTTGCAACAGCCTCCATTATTTCGCAATTAGAATTAAACAGAAGAAAGTGAACAATTGAGTCATCAGAGTGTCAGGTCTTACCCTCTAGAAATGGAGTAACAAAACGAGATCGGATATCCCTATAGAGGGGCAATGAAGTATGGTGTGTGTAATGGATTCTATATCTTTTAGATACCAAGGACAAAGTCTGTCTACATATGGTATCTGGCGGTACCTCCCTAAAAGCACCTCTGATGGCAGAACATTAAAGCGTGCAAGCATGTATGCTCTGCGATGATGTGGGGCTGTTAAACTTGACAGATACTTCGAAGTAGAGCCCATGTCAAAAGTCCCCAACCTGCTTGGGGAGCATCTGCTGGCTGTGCATTCCCTAAGTTCTTGCCTTTCGATGTCAAGAAATCTTTGTTTAATAATAGCATAGGCTTGTTTATCTGAACAGGGGGCTAAATAATCCGGGGATATTCCCATTGTAGAGAGTTTCTCCTCTACATGTCTAAGCCATGGAGAGAGATGGGACTCATTTAACATGTGAGTAATAATACTTTTAGCTTTAGCATGGAAATGAAGTCTAAGCCAAAACTGAGTTGTTATCAGCCATGCCCTTGTCGATAGAAGCCTTTGATCTAAGCATTAAGCTGCATAAGGAACACACGAGGGAAGTCCAAAAATATTCCACAAGAATCTGGACTGAATTCTTAAGGCTTCAATCCAGATTGGTACTCTGTAGAATAATTGAGCAGATAGTTTTGCATTAAAAACTTTAAGGGCCGCTGGCACGTACTGGTTACCCCTGGTATAATGGAAACGTGTAATTGCCACAGCAATGTTTTTCACTGCCTCAATTGCTCTCTCTTTATGATAGACCCATTTGGTGTTATAGTAAAAGTGAATACCCAAATACTTAAAGCTTTTGACTTGTTCAATGAAGTGGCCTCCAGTATTCCATCTGGACGGCTTCCAACTCTTACTGAAGATCCTAATTTTGGATTTTTCAAAATTCAGAACTAGCCTATTCTTTTCACAATAGTCTACAAAGCTCTTCAAAAGGCATTTCAGCCCTATACGAGTTAGAGACAATAGCACTGCGTCATCAGCATAAAGAAGTAAAGGGGTGGGGATCGAGCCAAGTTTAGGACTGTGACCATTGATCGGATCTAAGGTGGGTGCCAAATCATTTATAAATAGGTTGAATAGAAAGGGCGTTAAAAGGCAGCCCTGTTTGACTCCTATATTAATTGGAATTTTGTCAGTTAGGTCA